GCCGTGCGTCTTCGTACCTTGAATGTAGCGGAAGACGCGCTTGAGTGCTTGCCAGTATGTGGGACACGGGTCCGCCGCGAACTGGCTAAGAACTCCCACTGCCGCAGCGAGGTCCGGTCGAGTTCCAACCATGAGGTACATCAGGCAGCCGACAGCATTGCGATAAGGCACCTTGGCCATGGTCTCTTTATGGTTGCATCCTCCTTCGCACATGGCCTTGGTCAACTTGAGTCCTGGGTCTTGAGGGGTCTTGACAGGGTTACTGTTCTCCATGCCAAACTTCTCCAGGATGTCCTTCGCAAACTTGGTCTGACGCACCGACACTTTTCCTGAAGTCGCATCTTGATCGATCTCCATACCGAGGAAGTACTTGAGGCAACCCAAGTCCGTCATGTCGAAGCGTTCACTTAAGGCCTTCTTCGTCGACTTGAGCAGCTCGTCGTTGTTACTGGCGAGGACCAGATTCGACGTAGAGAGCCACGAAGATCATGTCTTGGTCATCCCACTTGACGTAGATGCAGTGATCGGCTTCACACTTCTTGAACCCCAGCTTCAGCATGAGCTTGTCAATGGTCTGGTTCCACATTCGTGGCGACTGCTTAAGACCGTAGAGCGAGCGCTTGAGATGGCAGACATAGTCAGGATGTTCTTCATCCGTGTAACCATCCGGTTGCACCATGTAGATATCTTCGTCAAGCAGCCCGTTTAGGAACGCCGTCTTGACATCCATCTGGTGCACCGTCAGATTGTACTTGGCCGCCAGACTGAGCAGGATCCTGATCGACGTGAACTTGGCGACTGGCGCGAAGGTTTCTTCGTAGTCAATGCCGTACTTCTGCGAAAATCCCTTGGCCACGAGTCGTGCCTTGAACCGCTCGATCTCTCCCGCTTGGTTCTCCTTGATGCGAAACACCCAACGACAACCGATTGCCTTTCGACCTTGGGGCAATGGCACCAACGACCATGTCTTGTTCTTGCGAAGAGAGTCGACTTCTGAGTTGCACGCTTCCTTCCACTTGGCCGCGTTGCTGGATTCCATCGCCGACTTGAACGTAGTCGCTATTTCTCCCACTGAATCCACAACGTAGGCCGCTTCGAAATCTTCTTCTCGACCACTTGCGACCGCTGACATCTCCTCCAGCGTCTGCGGCCGACTCTGTCGCTTGCTCCGCGGGATCTCTACCGCTTCCTCCAACGACTGCGTTCGCTGGTGTCGCTTGCTGCCGGACTCAAATTCTTGACGCGGCGCAGTGTCTCCCATCGTCTCATCCTCGGACGATGCTTCTTGATCCGTAACTTCTTCTTCTTGAAGCTCCACGATGTCATCTTCAACGTGGCTGCGTCTCCCTCCGTCGAAGACGTCTTCCATGAACTGCGCATCGCGGCTTACTAGCACACGACCGCTCTTGATCTCTTCGAAACGATACGCTTTCTCGTGTTCCGAGTACCCCAGAAACCGACACTTCACTGCTCGAGCGTCCAACTTGGTGCGTTTCTGCTTCGGAACCGTCACATACGCATGGCAACCGAACACCTTCAGGTTCGCCAGCAGTGGTTTCTTACCGGTCCATACTTGGTGCGGTGACTTGTCATGGCTGATGGCACGTGTGGGACACCGGTTACGTAGAAACGCAGCGGTCATTACCGCTTCACCCCAATACGACTTGGCCAAACCAGCATGCTCCAACATGCAGCGCGCACATTCCACCAGCGTCCAGTTCATCCGCTCGGCGACACCGTTTAGTTGAGGCGTGTACGGAGGTGTAAACTTCTGCACGATACCACGACGCTTGCAGAACTTAGCCATCTCGCCCGACGTGTACTCGCCACCGTTGTCACTACGAAGCGTCTTGACGACTTTGCCGGTCTGTGTTTCCGCAAATGCGACAAACTCAGCAAACTTGTCGGCCACTTCTGACTTGTTCCGGAGCAAATACACCACACAGAAGTGCGAGTACTCGTCGATGAACGTGACAAAGTAGCGTTTGCCACTGAATGTCGACGTCTGCATGGGACCACACACATCACTGTGAACGATTTCTAGCAGTTTCTTGGCGTGGTTGGGTGACTTGGACATGTAGCTCACTCGCGTTTGCTTGCCGAGTGCACATCCGTCGCACAGCTCCCACTGTTTCACCGACGTCATGTTGATGCCTGCACCGTAGTCCTTTTTGACGATGGCGTCTAGACCGCCATGGCCAATGTGACCAAGTCGAAGATGCCAGAGGTACGATGTGGTGTCCCCTTTGCGATCCTTCGAGCTTACCGCATTGGCCTCGTCGGGCACAACTGGTGTCATGCACAGCTTGAACAGCCCTTTGCCTTCACGCGCGCCGAGCTTCCAGTTGAGACCCTTTGCTTCCGCAAAACACCCATCCGTCTCGAACGTCACGGGACCAACATCCTTGGTGAAGCGATCAACCGAGAAGAGGTTGCGTGACAGCTTAGGAATGTGCCACACATTCGTGAGCACACCCTTCTTGGTCCCCCGTGGAGTCTTCATGGACATCACGATGTCGCCAGTCCCGACTGCCTGAACCACACCATCGTCCGCGAGATGTACGTCCACCGGAGACATCTTCTTGTAGTTCTTCATGTACTCCTTCGAGTACGTCATGTGCTGCGTCGCACCCGAGTCGACCAGCCACTTGTCACTTGACTTAGTGGTCTTGCTCCCACCACCAGCCAAGAAGAGAAACTCGCCCGATTCTTCTTCATCGCGCGCGACGTTTGCTCGTTGCGGCCTCTGTCGCTCCGCATTTTCACGAATCCTCACCGGACACTTGGCGATCCAATGTTTTTGTTCGCCGCAGTAGTGACACGCGCTTGTCTTTGGCGCCTGTCGTCCCTTACGCTTACCGTTGTCACTCGTCATGAACGCTTGACCGTGCGCGGCGCCGTCCGCACCGCCACCTTGCTCTTTGCGCTTCATGTCCTCATGCAGCAGCCGAGCCGTCACTAGTTCCCACGACAGTGAGTCAGCTCTCGACTCCAACGCCGTGATGAGGAACTGGTACGAATCGCTTAGACTTACCAGAAGCGTGATCACCAAGTCGTCCTCGCTGACCGGAGCGCCCACTGCGTCGAGCTGCTCCGCCAGCGTCTTGATCTTGTTGATGTGCTCCAGCACATCATCACCTTCTTCCATCATCGTGGTGAAGAAACGTCGACGAAGGAAGAGCTTGTTCGCCAAACTCTTCTTCTCGAAGTGTCCTTCCAGCCTTGACCAGGCATCATGCGCACCATTCGCCGACCGAACCAACGGCAGCTGCGAATCCTCCATCGCGAGACAGATAATCGCCAGCGCCTTGCGCGACTTCCGCTTGAACGTCGCTTGGTCCAACGCGGTAGCGCAGTGCTCCATCTTCAGTTCGCCACTGACGACTTCCCACAGGTCGCGCTCTTCCAGCACCATCTGCATCTTGAGCTCTCACGTGTGAAAGTTGGTTCCGTCGAACTTGTTGATGCGGGCGGTCGTTGAAGTGGCGTCCATGGCGTAGGCGTAGTCTTGGGCAGAGTCTGCGGGGCTTGGGCTCATAACCAAAAGGAAGGTCGTTTGTGCACTAGATGATAAAATGCAAAGTGATTGATTTATGAGCGTTGTTAAAGGTACCGAGCAGCTCGTACTTAAGCGAGAGTTAGGGGCACATGGTCCGAGTGCCTCCAGTCCTACAGGTACCGATTACAATTCAGAGCGGTAATATTCGGTATTTTATTGGCAGTTGATTGTAAAAATTACATCGTTTGTAGACATTAGATCGTGTGGCTCTCGTGGATCCAGTCATGCACGTTGCATGAATGTGACTTGTTGTACTGATGTGTTGCTTGAAGGTACACAAGACTTAATGTTTCACGGGGAGCATTCATTTACTTGTAGGCGGACTGGTGGTGACGGACGTGCATCTGCTGGGTAAGAGGAGGCGCTCATGGCTCGAGCGTCTCTGGGTGGACTGGCAGGTGCATATAGCCGCCCGAGCGGCTGTGGACGTGCACAAACCCGATGTGGCGCTGGTACTCGGCGACCAATTCGATGAGGGGAATCGTTGGACGTCATATGCGGATTACGGCGAATACGCTGGGCGGTTCTTTCGGGTCTTTTCCAGCTTTTTGCCCTTAAAGACGCTGTACTTGGTGCGACTAGTTTGGAGCTACAAGAGGTTGCAATTGCTGACAGGATTTTTGACAGGTCGGCAACCATGATACCTCGTTCGGACGGGACATGAGGATTGAGGACTTGAAGCGCTACGAAGTCACGTTCTGGGAGGCGAACCGGATTGACGAAATCGGAGGCCACACATTTGTGAGGCTGAATACGATGGCGCTGGACGCGGATGTGGCTAGTCGAGCAGTCAAGACGGAGGCTAAGAGGTAGCAATTGCAGTTTTTCAAGTGTTCAAGCTGGAGATCTGAGCGAACGATTTTCTTTTCTTCTCCTTCTGCTTGTGCAGGTTCCTGGAGAGCGTCAACTTTGGGGACCTTCGAGCGCGAACGACTGGCAGTGTAGTGTTGCTCACACACCTGCCGCTCTTCCGTGTTGACGACCTCCAGTGTGGAGAAGAACGGCTGCGCGAAGCGGGCCACGTCACCTATGAGCACCCGGGTTTCAAGTACGAAACGCACCACCACGTTCTCTCTCGCGAGCTGTCGACGGAGTTGCTGGCCAAAGTGCGGCCGGATCTGGTCTTTTCAGGCCACACACACGCCTGGTGCGCGTATAAGCTTCCTTGAAGGCAAGGAAACATTCTGCATTTACCGGTAATCGAGCAAGTTGTGAGCTGATCGCTTTTCGTCCATGTCCAACGCTGCAATCACCTGCAAGTCCATCCAGTGGATGACCTAGACCTCATGTATGATCAGCTAACCATCGCACATTGGGATCATCACCTGTCGTTAGATTAGAAAACTCTCAGTGACAGCAATGCACCTCACCGAATACTAGGTCAGGAGCGAGACAGTGAAGCATTAATGTGCATGAATAAATTTGGCAAGACTAAATGTAGCTACATCAGACATTTCAGCATGTAACGGAGCCTTAAAAATCGTATGAATGCTAAGGTTGGTTTGGCTGGCAGTGGAATTCCTCTGAGGTAGCACTCGAAAAACATAAGGACAGCTACACCGCAACTTGATCCATCTGGCTGTCGTGAACGTGTTTCTGGCTTGATTGTCAGAAGGGAACATAGTTCTCCAAAAATACTCTTCAGTTGGGCTTCACAGATGTCGTAGTACTTTGCCTTCGACGCTTGAAGCGGGTCAAAGAGCGTGATTCTCCGGGTCTCTCTCCGAAAATCGATCACAGCACCGCACCAGTGGTTGTTGTCGATATGCAACGGTATCAGCACTATCTTGTTTGTTTTCGCAAACGGGTTGCCGGCTTTGACAGTCGTAAGCTGCTGCTCTCGGAGCTGGAAACGCAGGAAGAGAGGGTTGACGACGCCAACATCAGGATGCTCACGGTGTAGCAGCGCTATCCCGTGCCCCATACAATTGTCGTCAAGCCATGAACTCCCACAAAATGCCAGTAGGGATCGATACGGTACACTGCCAAACGATGTCACGCGTCCGCCTCGAAGCATAAGCTGCTTGATTGCATTTTCACACTCTTTTGGTTCGGTAGCAACTCCATCAGACAGTTCATCTGGAATTGTGATGCGCTTAACGCTGGTGTTTACGGCCCAATTCATAGCATCCTCTGTCTGCGCTAGAAGCTTCATGCACGTGTGCCACCGATCCATTGCCTTGATATCTTTAAGCATAAAGATTCCAAAACGTGACACACGCACGCCGACGCTGTCTTCTTCACAGTCATCCTTCCTGAACCCTTTGATTGCCATTTGAGCCTTTTCCACAAATTCGCGAGAGAAGACACACCAAATATCAGTAGTGCACTTGTCTTTCGTGTAGATACCAGCGATCGCCTTTTTTGACGTTGGAACTTCCCGGATTGTGAGCGTGGGTAGTATCCGCTTCGCAGCTTCGTAGGTATAGTCGTTGTCTAGAAACTTCACGATGTTCCGTACACTCGGAACCGGCACCAATGTCCCCTGCACGAGTCGGGACGCAGCTTCCTTACCGCGGGCGACACGCTGTCGCTTCTCGGCTTTCCCTTGATTCTTTCTCACTTTTGGGCGCCCTCTGCTTTTGGCGCTCTTCGATACGATGACGGATCCAGATGAGTCAGACGAACTACTGGGATGATCCCGCTTGACTATACTCGGTTTCTCACTGTGCGGATCTCCATGAATGACACCCACCCGATCTCCACTTGTATTTCCTGTAACTGAAGGTACAGTAGAAGTAGCCAATACATCTTGCTTGGTGACTGGAGATACAAAACCAGCACCCGATACTTGCTCAGTGAATGGAGGTACAGTAGAAGTATCCAGCATTTCAGGCTCGGTGACTGGAGGTACTGCAGAGGTACTCAACACTTTCTGCTCTGTAACTGGATGTGTTTGGGTTTCCTTAGGTATCGCTGCACGCTGCGTCGGAGCTTGCTCGTCATCACTGTGGTCACACTTTAAAGCCGTCAGAGAGTAGGAGACCGTTGTGGTATCATCGCGTGCAGAATCATTGTTTTCGAACGAAAAAGGCAGTAAAGCCACCTGAGACAGCGGTTCAACGCGATCGTCTACGCGTTCGACAAACGGAGCTACTCCATCCTTGATCACCTCCTCGAATTTCTCCAATGCTACCATCATCTCTCCAAAAACGTGAGTTCCATTTCTGCTCATGATATCGGCAATACTCATTCCGCGTTGGAACGCATGCTTGTATTTTGTGGAATCGTTCAGCACCTGATGATTCCTTGCTGCCATTGCAGAATCGCAGATTTGAAAAGCCTTGCACGCAAAGTTAGTGTCTGGGATATTTTCTTCAGCGGCTGGTTGATTTAGTTTGCACACCAACTGCCACCGAGACGCGATATTGCGAATAGGAATAGCAGTCTTGTCGTTCATTAGACGCCAATACATGACGTGGCGGCATGGTAAAGCATTGTTCGCATAAACACACACGAGCACTGATATCGCTAAAGGCACCTCAATAAACACATTCAATTAGATAGGGATTACAGATAAAGTTCCACTGGTTCACGTACCGAAGTATCCACGTGATATACACTTGTACGGTTGTCTCCAGTTAGAAGAAACAACCTTGGTTGCAGTTCCTTTATCTCGTAATGGGTCTTTCTATCCTTGGACATCCAGTACTGCTGCTCAATTAGCCGGTACGCATAGGGACTTACATCACGGGCAAGAATTTTCAATTCTTCATCTGCACCTTCGTAGCGCATCTGACCAACATCAGTTATCTTCTTGGCGTACTCCATCTCGGCAACGGCTTGTAAGAACATCAAGGTATCGACGCATTCATCCAACGCCATGTCTGCCCTTAAAATATCCTTGATATGACCCCACGATGATTCCAGTCTGTGGTAAAACGGCCCAAGTTCAGTACTAATTTAGAAGCAGCATTCCGAAAGCCATTGTACCTGTTGTTTGTGTGATTCCCCAGATGGGGTACATCAGAACGCGCATATAGCACCCATCGTTCCTTCATAGAGTCTTAATTTCGCATGAAATATTCCAAGAAAGGGTGCTTAGGCTCTGGAATAGTGTCGCTGTCTTGAAGCTGAACTCTATCGAGCAGGAAGTACATGTACTTCAGATATTTAATGTACTCCTCTGGAGAAGCAGCAAGTCTCATCATGTCGACAGCATCCTCCACTTGGTCTTTGTCAAAGCTCGAGGGTCCTCCATACTCACGCTTCACCATTTCAGCACGAATACACTTCTTCAGATGGAAATTGTTAACGGTGTAGAGGTGTTGGAACGAAGCTTGGGACTGAACGGAGTGACTTCTGCACTTGGTGCGGAGACCGGAGTGAAGGCACTTGAGCGGAAGAAGGAAGATTCGAAAGTGATTGATTTATCGGGGCTTACACTGTCCTCACTACCTAGGTCATCCAATCATTCTACTCGTCCAATCATTGGTGGCATCAACAACGTACCATAATCACAGCGGGATCGTATTGGACCGGTTCAGGTTGACCGGTTAATAAGTACAACTGGTACACAGTACCAAGACCAGCAACCCTCAATACGCCCCCTCAATGCGAACACGCGTGGATACCAAGAGCCGCTGCTAGGTCCATGTGACGAGGCCCTGGGAGCGCCTTCGTCATGATGTCAGCCAGCATCACAGAAGTCTCGCAATACTCGAGCTTGACTTCACCACGCTTGACTTCATCGCGAATGTGGTGGTACTTGATGTCGATGTGCTTGGCGCGGCCGTGGTTCACAGGATTCTTTGTCATCTTGATGCACGACTGGTTGTCTTCTTGGATCTTGAGGTCGGGTCCAGTCTCATTGGCAGCTGCTAATATCTCGCACAGTAGGCGATGAATCCACTTGCCTTCTTGAATTGCCAGACTTAGCGCGATGTACTCCGCTTCGCTCGTAGACAGCGAAACACTTGACTGCTTCTTGCTACCCCAGCTCACTGGCGCACCCATCAGCATGAACGTGTAGCCGGAAGTCGACTTGCGGTCCGCGAGGTCACCAGCCCAGTCTGCGTCAGAGTATCCGCGAAAGTCGATGTTGTTACCCGGTTTGTAGCAGATTCCATGCGTCTTGGTGCCTTGCAGGTAGCGAAAGATGCGCTTGACCGCAACCCAGTGTTCTTCTTGGGGATTCTCCATGAAGCGCGACACATAGCCCACCGCGTACGCAATATCTGGACGCGTCGCGGTCATCAGGTGCATTAGTGCACCAACAGCTTCGCGAAACGGAGCTTGTACCTTGGTCGCCGCGTCGCTTGGAACCAGTCGAGTGCTTATATCCACCGGACTTACCACAGCCTTGCACTCGTCCATACCAAAGCGCTTCAGGATGTCATCCACATAACGCCGTTGGCTCATCGTCACGCTGCCGTCCGGACCGTCTACCAATTCGATCCCAAGGACGAACACACACTTGCCGCTGTCAGTCATTTCGAAGCGTGTCTTGAGGTCGTTCTTCGTGCGTGAGATCAGCTCGGGTGAGCTTCCGGTGACCAGGACATCGTCGACGTAGACCAGTATGAGTACACAGTGGCCATCAACAACTTTGATGTAGAGGCACGGGTCAAAGGCCGAAACTTGAAAGCCGATAGAGCATACGAACTCGTCGAAAGTCTCGTTCCACACGCGCGAAGCTTTTTTTAGACCGTAAATGGCCTTCACCAATTCCAGGCAGTCGAAGTCACCGTCGAGCTCGACACCTTCGGGAACCACGCAAAACACGATCTCCCTCATCACGCCGTACAGGAATGCCGTCACCACGTCTAGTTGGTCTAGCGGCCAGCCAAAGTACTTGGCCAAAGCGATTACCATGCGCAATGTCACGTACTTGACAACCGGCGAGAACGTCTCAGTGTAGTCGATGCCGTACTTTTGCTTGAAGCCCTTGGCCACGAGGCGTGCCTTGTGCTTCTCGATCGATCCGTCCGCTTTGCGCTTGATCTTGAACACCCACTTGGTACCAATAGCGCGTTGTCCGTTCGGCAACTTAGCAGCACGGAACACTCCTCGAAGTCGCATCGACTTGAGCTCAGCACGAATTGCTTTGCGCCAGTGCACTTGGTCGGGGCCGTTCACCGCCTCTTGGAAAGTCGCTGGCTCCGATAAGTCCACCGCAGCTTCGACTGCGTTGGCACTTGCACGCCAAAACACGGGGGAAGTCGATTCTTCATCTTGATCTCCAGCCTTTTCTTCTTCGTTTACGTCTGCTCGACGTGAAGACGAATTGGTCGGCGCACTTGCTTCTTCCAGTCCGGGTCGATGACGCGTAGTTCGCGGTCTTGTGGTAGATTCATCTTCGTCACTCGGGCGGCTCTTGCGCTTTCCCGCCTGCCTGTGCTCCGTCTGACGCGAACCGTCATTGTCGATGTCGAGATTCGAAGTCCAGGTCGTCGACGTCTTCATCGGAAATTGGCTCTGAAAGTCCAAAGGTCGATTCATCGAAGTTGACATCGCGACTGATAACCACCTGCCCCGCCTCGATGTCATAAAGTCGATACGCCTTGAATACTTCTTCGTAGCCCAGGAACAATCCGGCGCGAGCCTTTGGATCCCACTTGAGCCGTTTCTCCTTCGGAGTTAAGATGAAAGCTCGACAGCCGAAGACGCGCATGTGTTTCACACTCGGCGCGGACTTGTACACAATCTCGAACGGAGTCTTGCACTCGATCTTTGGTGACGGCAGGCGGTTCTTCACGTAGATGGCCGTCATCGCCGCTTCACCCCAGAAACACTTGTCCAGCTTGGCATGGTGCAGCGCATCATGCTGCCATCAGCCATGACAAGTCACCGCACCAAGTATGGACCGGTAAGAAACAAAAGGAAGGTCGTTTGTGCACTAGATGATAAAATGCAAAGTGATTGATTTATTGGAGCTTACTCTGTCTTACGTCCTAGTCTGCATCCAATCATTTGGTGCATCCAATCATGGACTCGTCCAATCATCCTGTTCGTCCAATCATCTGTTTGCGCATACATCCGTTTGCGCAATTGACTTACCGTAAACATCGCGGGGTCCTTGGAAACCGGTTTTACTGGTATGCCGAAGCTGGACGAGACGCCTTCTTGACAACATGTAGGACATCCTGTTGTAAGGTTTCCGGCATCACCAGTCTCATCAATCCATCCCGATCCTCGTTGACTCTCTTCGTAGGGGGACAATAGAAGAGCAAGTCATTCAGATCCACTGCGTAATCC